CAGGGCTCCCCCAGCCCTGCCGACGCCTGGATGTAGCCGTCGGGGTGAACCCATCTCCATGGCCAGGCTCACCAGAGGGAAGGGGCTTGGTCTGGGCTGGGGGCCAAGAGGTAGTAGAAAGCCCAGAGGTTGCTGCCAGTCACCGAGGGTGGAGGGACGGAGCCGCCTGGGTGGGTCCTCGCCTGGCCTTCTGGCCCAGGCTCTCTGCACTCAGCGGCTTGTGCAAAACTTTATCCTGCAAGGGATGATTGTGGTGTCTGTGGGAAGCGAGCAGCTCTCTGGCCACAACTTTCCCCCGGTTCTGGGGGACCTCCTCATTTCCCCCCGAATCTGCTCCCTAGCGGAATGGAGGCCATCGAGGTCCTGAGGACCCGTCCAGCCTCTTCTGGGGCCCAGAAGAGGCACTGAGGAGGCAGAGGGAGCCGGCCCCGGGGCAGCGGAGCCCATATGGTGAGTCAGCAAAGAAGGCCAAGTCTCACCCAATCCACAAAGCAAGCAGGGGCCGCAGGGAGGGCCCTGGGGAAGCCTCGGGTCCTCGGAGAGGCAGAGCCCACCACAGCCCTTCCTGCCTGCACTGGGGCAAACGCCTCACCCTCGGCACTGCTCAGCCTGCCGGTCATAATCACAAACCAGTGTCATGCCTCCAGGAAACTCATGCTGAGTTTGTGGCATCTGCATCGTCATTTTCGCTATTTCTCACTTTTCCATTTTCTCTTAAGTGAGCTTTAACTTGGGTGATACCTGACAGTTAACAGGCACGGGAGATAAGTTTCTTTCAGTGACACTGCAAATGAGTGAGAAGAGGTTTCCTACAGGGTGAGGTGTCATGCTTTGCACAGCGATGCCCACCAGCACGTTCAAGGCAAGGTGGATGTTTAAAGCCTGACTCTCACGCTCAGCAGTGAGGCCGGCTCTGTGTCCAGGAGCGTGGCACCAGCTTTTTATTTTTGAGGCTAGAAATTTAAGGTAACAGGGACTTTCCAAGCGCTGGGGAAAGCCGCGCACCTGCAGGCCTTCCTTTTCTGTTCCCTACCTGGCACTTTGCGTTTCGAGTAAAACTTGGTGTCAGGGTTTTGGTTCCATAAACTTTGCTCTGCAGAAATCTACAGTTCAAAGAGACGCGTTGAACACTGTTTTCAAAACAAAAATCCAAGAGACGTGTGGCCCTTTGCTCAGCGGCAGGAATCAGGCTGAGCGGGCTCTTCTCCACTCCAGCTGGGAAGGAGGGATCTGGGAGCCGCGTTTGGGACCCCCAGCCTGGGGCACCTTGCAGGTGCTGCGGGTCCCTTCTGGGCAGGAACCACGGGACCTCGTTCATTTCAGCACTTCCTGGGGCCACCGCGCAGGGCTGAGCCGCCCGCCCATACAGAGCATGTCCGGGGGGCGCGGGGCGCAGGAGGGGCCGCGGCAAAGGCCCCAGAGGACACGCAGGGCCCGGGCCACCCCTTGCAGGGTCTCTGCTCGTTTCTCCAACTAAGGGGCGCTGGGACTTTGGGATGCGCCGCGGTCTGAGTGGGTCCCGGGGCCCCTTCCGCGGGGAGGGAGCAGGACCCCGCCTCGCAGCCGCTCCCCATCCCCGCAGCGGGTCCCCAGGACCGGCCTTGCTCCTCTCACCGGCGCCCCGGCCTGCAGCACTCCAGGGTGGGCGCTTCCCGCGTCTGGGGCGGGGAGGCGGGCGGGCCCTGGAAACCACCCCCCGTGCCCAGCCCCCAGCCCTGCTCCCCCACCCCACGCCCTGGAACCCCCCGGCCTGCGCCCCCCGCCCCTCCCTGGTCTCAGCCGCACCGGGGCCTGGGACGCTGCAGCAGGAACCCGGCGTGGAGGGAAAGCAAAGTCTTCTCTTTCCGAGCCGGAGCCGGTAACCATGGAAACCTCGAGAAGGATGGAAACCCCCGGAGTTCAGGGACCCGCAGGCGACGCAGCTGCGACCCCCTCATCCCGCAGCGCAGCGGCCCCCGGGGCTCCGCACGATGGATGCGCGCGTGGGAAGCGACTTTCCCCGAGTTCATTAAATGAGCTCTGAACAAGCCTATCCGGAAGACGCTCCTTGGTAAGTCCCCACACGAACAGCCGGAAGCCTCTAGAAGGAGAAGCCGGCGCGGGCCAGCCCTGCGGGGATGCAGGAGGCGGGGCGGGATCGGCGTTGGCGGGGAGGGGGGTGCCGGAAGGCCAGGCCGGGCCCAGGGGATCCGGGGCTGCGAACCCGCCGCACAGCGAGGGTCGGTCCATCCCGCGCAGCGGGCCCGGTGCCTCCAGTGGGGTCCGTGATGAAGGGCAAAAAAAAAAAAAAGGAAAATATGTGAGAGTGAATAAAGAGCCTTTAAAACCTGAATGTGGAAAACTTTCCTAATGATAAACAGAAATCCAGAAACGATAAGGGAAAAGATGAACACGTGACAACATTAAAAAACAGAACATTTTACACGAGACAAAATCATTAGCAACATAAACAAATGATAAAGCAGGGAAAGAACGTGCAGCGTGTATCGCGGAGTCACCGTCTGTAAAGTGGAAAGAGCTGAGGAGACGGAAGAAAAAGGCAGCCCCAAGGCTGTGCTCAACCTCCTCCTAAAAAGAGAAATCCTGGCCGGACGGGTGGCTCAGGCCTGTAATCCCAGCACTTTAAGAGGCCGAGGCGGGCAGATCACAGGATAAGGAGATGGAGACCATCTTGGCCAACATGGTGAAACCCTGTCTCTACTAAAAGTATAAAAATCAGCTGAGTGTGGTGGCGAGCGCCTGTAACCCCAGCTACTCGGGAGGCTGAGGCGGGAGAGTGGCTTGAACCCGGGAGGCGGAGGTTGCAAGCTAAGACCGCGCCACTGCACTCCAGCCTGGGCGACAGAGCAAGACTCCATCTCAACAACAATCAATCAATCAATCAATCAATAAACAATAAATAATAAATGAAAGAGATCCTAAGGGCAGCTGCACCAAGACAGCACTGGGAGGGAGAGGCCAGCCCGGCGATGGGGACATGCAACGATGGGGACGCCCGGTGATGGAGACGGGGCACCAGGAATCCGGTCGGGATTCGGGCAGGGGAGGCGGGTCCATCTTTGCTCAGGAGTCCCACGCCCAGGGGTCTTTTCCACAGAAGAACCGATGCCATCAGTCATAGCCACACAGAGTGATCTAGACGTCCATGGAAGGCACACACCACAGGCCAGGCTGCTGTGGAAAGGAAGGGTCCCTGTGACAGTGTGGAGGCATCTCCACTTTTCTGTGCACACGTGTGATTTGCTTGCATCAAATACACACCAGGCCAAGGAAGGCCACGCGAAGGGGAACGGACACACTCACCTACAGAGAGGAGAGCAGACGGGGACAGCAGCACAGGCGAGGAAAACGTGGTCCCTGTGAATTCACCTTGTTTTATGTTTTGACTCTGGACCATAAAATATTTTATAGAACAAAATCCTAGTGCTTTGCCTTTTTCAAAATTTTAGACAGGGTCTTAGTCTTTCACCCAGGCTGGAGTGCAATGGCACGATCTCAGCCCACTGCAACCTCCGCCTCCCAGGTTCAAGCAATTCTCCTGCCTCAGCCTCCCAAGTAGCTGGGGTTACAGGTGCTCACCACCACACTTGGCTGATTTTTGTATTTTTAGTAGAGACGGGTTTCACCGTGTTGGCCAGGCTGGTCTCGAACTCCCGACCTCAGGTGATCCGCCCACCTTGGCCTCCCACAGCGCTGGCATTCGCGGTGTGAGCCACAGTACCCAGCCGGTTGTGCTCTTTGAATGGTAAGTGCATGTGGGGTGGTTCTGAGTGCCGGATCCCTGCAGCCTGTGTGGACATGGCCCCTTCAGAAAGAACCACAGGAATGCACTCGGACCCTGGAGGTTTCCTGGATCACACCGGGTGCAGATCAAACGCAAAGCCCGTTGAGTCGGGGGAAAGGGGGTGTGGTCATGGCTTCCCGGGGCTCTGAGGGCCTCTGGGTCCCGGCATGTGGGCTTCTTCCTAGCTCTACCTTTCAACGAGGGAACCACCTCCCCAACCTCCTGGCGTGAGAGGGGCCCCATTCTTGGGCTCAGTCACATCTCCCAGCTGCCCAAGCACAGGTTCCTGCCGGCGGCGGACGCCCAGGACACCCGGGACACGGCACCCTGTGCTCCCTCAGCAAACGTGCTGAGGCCTTGCACGTGGGCCCCTGGGCCACGTCCTTGGGAGATGGCCCCTGGGCCCCGGCCTGCTGGTATCACTGGCCCACTCCCTATCACGCCCACTCCCCATCCCCGCCTCAGGGCCCCCCTGCTTTCCCGAGCCCGGCTGTGCCCTGAGGTACTGTGGCTTCCCAGCAAGCTTGGTGTTCTGTTGCAGGCTTTTAGACGTGCCGTTTCTTGGCTTCGTGTCCAGCACTAACACAGGCTCAGCTTCCGTCAGCTGTTTGGGCAAAAAGTATGCACGGAATCGCAGAGCTAACAGGCGGCAGTCTGCTGTGGAGTCGACACGGCAGAAAGGCTACACTCAGGGGGAGGCAGGGAACCGGTGGGCATGCCTCGGGGGTCGGGCAGCAGAGGGGCAGACGCCCCAATGTGTCGGTGGACACTCCAGCAACACCTCCGTGCCTGGGTGTGAGGGTGGCTCGGGGTCTCCGCAGGGCTGCTCACATTTAAGCATGCTGTGGTCCCTAAGCATGAGCCACTCATCACTAGGGGCTCAGACTCCTGAGCTGGGGGTGCCACGGTTCCCAGTGGGCTCTCTCAGAACGGGGTCGTGCTCCACGCTCACTCCCAGATGGAAATGAAAAGGCACAATAGAACCACCCAGTGGGGAGAGGGTGCCTGGGCCCGAAGAGCAGACCCACACCCACTGCCACTGTTGAGGGAGGAGCTCCCAGGACTCGCCTCTAATTCAATCTGGGAAACAAAGGCCAGGCTTGGTCTGAAGGCGTGCGGTTCCTGCTCCGAGTCTGTTAACGAGTGAGCTCTGACTCTGATTCCTTACTCCTGCGTACTGTGAATTAAGTTAAAAAATACTCGGGAACAAATATGGTAAACCTGCCCTTAAAGAACTTTATTTGTCTATTTTCATATGGATCATTTATTAAATTAGGAGGCTAAAAAGTAAAAATATATTTTACAATCAAAGAAAAATCTGGACAATGGACCCCAGTAAAATAATCAGAAGCACATGTTCTGAGACCCCACCCGCTGACACCCTGCAGGGCAGCGCCTGCAGAGTGGAGAGCATCTGCAGAGTGGAGAGCATCTGCAGAGTAGAAAGGAGCAGGGAGCCTCCGGCGACCTGTCTTCTGTCTCCGGAGCCCTGCCCGAGGCTCCGAGATGGCACAGTCAGGCTGTCCTTAGTGACTGCTGCCACAGAGCTGGCAATTGGCATCTTCAAACCCAGGAGCAGGAGCGGCAGAGGCCTGGCAAGGCCCGGGCCCTCAGACACCAGGGGCCTAAGCCCAGCTCCCAAACCCGCTGCAGCCTGCCCTTATGAGCTGGCAAACAAGCCTGTCCTTCTGAGTGCGACGACCTCATCCACACCTGACAGGCAGGGACGGGGGCGGGTGGGGGGCGTGAACCAGCTAATTCTGGGACCGCTTGGAGGGGCTCAGCAAGCTGCTTCTACAGTAAGCCTTCAAGCAGAAAATAAAGCACAAAATGCAGGAAAGAAAAATCTTATTAAAGGACTTACAAAATGTGATTTATCTATTAAAAAAATAAAGCGTTCGTGAAAAAGAAAACTAAGAGATGGCAGCAAGCGTGGTCATCAGCAAAGGGTTGCTCTCCCTCCAGCGAGGCGGCCCCCACCGTGTGGCTCCCTCGGGCCCCCACTCGTCATTGGCGAAGGGTTATTCTCCCTCCAGCGAGGTGGCCCCCACTGTGAGGCTACCTCCGGCCCCCACTCGTCATTGGCGGAGGGTTGCTTTCCCTCCAGCGAGGCGGCCCCCACTGTGCGGCTCCCTCCGGCCCCGACACGGGCTGCTCAGGAGCTGGCAGCAGGGGCCACGTCCTCTCCAGGAGACACCCACAGAGCCACACGTGCATGGTGTGGCAGTCTCACTGCACCCCAGCAATGCGAAGGCAGAAACCGGTGCTGGTGGCCACACCTGGGCGCCTGGACGCCGAAGCCCCCAGCACAGTGAGGCCTCCAAGTGTGGCCTGCGGTCCGTCCCGAAGAGTTATTAATGTCACAGAACATTATCATCTAGAACGTTCCAGTCCCACCTGACACCTTCATTCCCAATGGAGAAGACGTAAGACCAGGCCATCTGAGGCGGAATCCCAGGGCCCTCTGAGTGGTCGGCATCTGCTAAGCAAACACCATGTCTTTCTTCTTCACACGATCAAAGGCCTTTAGGACCCACAGCTGAAGAAGGCGCCTGTTGCCACCATGTCCCTCCCCCACGGCCACCACACACTTCAAGTTTACAAAAATAAATATTTATCAACAGTATATTTGACAAAAACCACCCCCAGTCGGTGGCGGAAAGCAGTATTTTCTAGCTGACACTGAAACTTATTTTTTCCAGGGAGAAAAAGACTAAAATGTAAGCACTAACTTCCTCCTTCTGCATCTTCCATAGAAGACCCACTTGTAGGCCTTCTCTTTCTGTCCGTATCAGTGGGTTTCCGTCCGAAGGCTGGGGGCAGACACTTGAACCACAAACAGCAGACATGCGGGTGCGCACACAAGCGTCTCGATGGCATGCGGATTACGTAAAGTGCATCACTTGTGAGAAGTTTCTCAAATTCCTGACTTTCATAACCAGGTGTCACCTAAAATCTGTCCTGCAAACCAAGATGCTACACGCGGTGCCCAGGCAGGCAGAGGTGAGGCGTGCCTCCCGCCTCAGAAAGCTTTTACACGGCCACGTTTGCCAGGCTTCCCTCACCCACGCTGAACCTAGGTCCCAGGCACAGCAGCTGCCCAAGCTGTCGTCAGCAGTCGGCTGGCAGTGCCGCAACACCCTCTCAGGATCATGCACGTGCCGCCTCTATCACCTCCCACCCCAGCCTTGCAAGGCCTGTTGAGAAGAGAAGCCCCCTGGGAGGACACCCACGGAGCTGGCGTGAGCAGCAGGACGGACGACAGCCTCCTGCGGGTGAAGGACCCGGCTTCAGATGCCCGCTGGCTGGCAATCAGGCAGAGCCCGGCCAACCGTGCCAGGCTCCCCTCCTCATGCCAGGTGTGGGTGCATCCTGCCTTCAGGCTGGAGTCTGTCACAAGGCTGGCTGGACAGTGGCCAGGTGAGCCAGGCCAGAGGCCGGCCCCACGCCATCCACAGGAAGCTGCCCGCTCACCAGACCCAAGCCCTGGGCAGGGGCCAGGCTCACAGCAAAGCGCGTTAGGGCAAGGACGTGAGTTTTCGGCTGGGAAGTTCTAAAAAAACCCACAAATCAGTGTGAGGGATCGTGTGTGCCTTAATCAACAGCTCTATTCCAATGACGTCACATCACAAAATGCCATGAATGGAATCAGAAGGCGCTCCACCACCTCCAACACCCTGGCAGAAGCAGCTGCTCTCTACAGCAAGAACATTTTCCAGAACAGCATGAGAAGGGGAGACGCACGTCCTGGGGACAGAAGAATGCGCCGAGACCTCCCAGCACAAGAGGCGAAGGGAGCACCGCCCCGTCCTGGGCCGCCAGGAACGAAAATCCCCATGCACCCAGAGCAGGCGCGGGCGGGGCAGCCCAGACGTCCACGGGAGGGGCGACAGGGGCCGTGTCACGGGGATCTTGTTGGGACAGCATTCCTTGGGGAGCGCCCGGTTGGCGTGTCCGAAGAGCTGGGGTGACACGGCAGCGAGGGCGGAGGCTCTACGGCTCCTCCCCCATCTGCAGCAGGGAGTTGATGGCGGCGTCCTTGTTCCCTCGCTGGGCTTCCAGCACCGAGCGGATCACCTCCTGGTCCATGTTGGGGAACATGTCCTGGATGGCTTTCAGGTCCTCCTCGCTACAGCGGGGCTGGGCGTTCACGGCGGCCGGGGGCAGGGCCACGGGCACCATGCCGGGGCTGCAGACGGCGGGCATCCCTGGAACCAAAGATCAAGTTTGGTAAAAACATCGGAAGGTTCCAGAAGTGCCACACTAGCTCCTGCTGAAAGAAGAGAACACATCCCACCGGCCTTCCTCAGGGAGGGGCCACCTCGGGTCTCAGCAAACACCAGTCCCGAAAGACACCCTGGAAACACAAGCCCTCAAACAGCAACGCCAGGCACAGCCACGGGAAGGCGGGGCAGGGGTCTCTGAGACGCATCCTTCACTAACTCATGTTCCTTCCACACAAAAATCAAAGTTTAATCTTTCAAATCTCACCCGAGCCTGTTTTCTAACTAGCAGGCTGGGGGGTGGCGTTTTGATCCCTTCAGAACTTGTGAATTTGCACTGCACACGCTTGTCTTCACTGACCAGAGGGCACACAGCATTCTCTTCATCTGGGGAACGGACTACACGAAATGCCACACCCGCTGATCCAAACACTGCAGGGTCTGAACCTCTTCCTTTATCAGGCATTCTACAAGATGCTTTTGCAGCTTGGCCAGTGTGTCACTAAACTGTGTGCTGGTGGGGAGCAATCACCACAGGCACTGAAGACCTCAGCAAAGCTGCAGCCGATGCCCAGAATGACAACCACACACACATACAAACTACACCAAGAAAATGCTCACAAAACTCACGCAAGTCAGGCAGCAGGTGTGGTGCACCGGGGACCCTCAGTGTACTGGGGCCACCGTCCAGGGTTCCTGGCATCACCACCCCACAGCTACGCAGGCCCCTCGCCCCGTGTCTCATGCGGGTGGACACACTGAGATGCAATCTATCAAGCAGAAGCTGCACAGTGGTTCAGCCACTGCAGCACACACACCCCAAAGGCATGGTGTGGCCGGACTTAAAGCTCGCCTCCCAGCCTGGTGGCCGCTCCCTAAAACCACAAGCAGCCCTGAGCACAGGCAGCGTGAGCAGGGCTCAGCGACCAGCGAGGCACAGAGCTCCTCCTGCAGCAGCAGCTGGAGCAGGGCAAGGGTTCACTGCGCACCCGTTCGTTCACCTTTAAAAGCACGAACGATCTCCCAGCTAGGCTCACTGGAGCGCCAGAGCCCCAATCTGAGGATGGGACTTTTGTTCCTTTCTACACTCGGAGGACCCTAAAGGCAACAGAAGCCATTTCAACTCTGGCCTGAACCAATACCAGCAACAAGGACCTGCAGCGGTGGAAACGGAGCGGACGGGGCTGGCCGCTGAGCCTCCAGCACCAGCTGTAAAGACCGGGGCTCCTCAGAAAGGAAGGCTGCCGCTTCCCAGCTCCTTCCAGGCCAGGCCGACTCTTCCTCCACACCCACCCCTGCCTCCTCTGCTTCTCGGCTCTCTCTGGGCCAGGCCCACCTTTCCTCCATACCCACCCCTGCCTCCTCCGCTTCCCGGCTCTCTCTGGGCCAGGCCCACCTTTCCTCCACACCCACGCCTGCCTCTTGTCCTGGCCAGTGGACACCTCACCTCACTGGGAAAGCATCATCCCCACACTGATCAGCCTTTCAGCAATGAGGGAAAATGAACCGAACCACGGCCAGGTGGGGACGTGGCCACCCTCACCATCCTTTCTTCTTCCTCAAACAAGACAAAGGCTCGGCCGCTACCTGCCCTGGAGGGACCCCCGGGACCCCCGTGGCTTTCCGGGCGCCCCAGCCAGCAGGGGGGCAGGAGCTCAGCCATCACCTGTCCCTGCCCACACGGCTCCCCACAGCGTGGCAACAGGAAGAATGGAGCTCGGCACTGCCACTCTCTCCAGCCTTTTTCAGTCTGACGGAGAAGGGACAGGAGGGGAGATCGCTGCAAAATCGACAACGGCGACTGCGATGCTGTGATGTCATGGCCGGGGGCGCCCGAGAAACCCGCTCTGCTGACAACAAGGGGATGTGGCGCCCACTGGCCCTCAAGTGAGTCCCGACAGTACGGCCCCAACACACTCGGGACCAGGCACCCCAGGGGAAGAGGTGAGTGCTTCCATGGCGTGGGCCGAGGGGCAGTGGCCCGGCTCACTCCCCTCCTCCCTGCAGGGCAGAGGCCGTGTGCCTGGCCTGAGCCTGACCCACCCTGGTTACCAAGTGTGATATGTCCATCAAGCCCTCTGGGAACGGACAGTGCACCGTGTCAGGGCTGCCTGGGGACTTCAGGAGGACAGACCAGGAGCTCTGGGGCCTGGCGGAGAGCAAATTCCCCAAAACGTGGGCAGAGAGGACGCCACGGGAGCCGGGGGCAGCCCAGACCCCACCTGTAGCAGCCCTGGGAGGAGTGGTGGGCGACTTCGCTGTGTCCCTGCTGTCCACCGCACTCAGTGTTCTGCACCCACGCGGACGGACGTGCAGCACAGGACAGGCCCCACCTCACATTCTTCATGCTGCGTGAATCTGCTGTCATACCTCGGCAAAATCAAATACTCTACTGACAAACACAACGGTACCCAGGAAAACCAAAAGCTGTCCCTTTTCCATTCAGGAAAAATTGCTCCGAGAACACCCTGACCTCAGACCACGCAGCACGATGAGCCCTGGCCGCTGGTGGGCAGGGGGGCATCGGCCCTGCTCAGGCTGAAGGCATGTGGCTCTGGGCCCCAGACGTCTTGCACGACAGTGGAAAGACATCCAAAGAGCAGGTGGGGACGACCACCCAGCTCAGAGACTGTTCCGGAACTCCCAAGGCTTGTTGCTCTTCTCCCTCCACAGAGCGTATCACAAAGAAGAAAACCTGCGTGATTCCTTGTTTCACAGCGACCAAGTTAGCGGGTTAATAAACACAACAGCAGAGCGCTCCAAGTGACAGTCTGGGAAACTTAAGCATCCAATTCTCATTTTGAATGGAACCATTTTGTATTTTAAACGACATGTGCTGCTCAGCTGCAAACTCCGTGATTGTTGGAATTCCACCTGCGAGGGGAAGCATGCCTGGACTGTCGGGTGAGCCCTTGGCTGGCCCTCTCTGGAACTCACGGGCGCTGTGAACGCTGGCTGTTCCCATGCATGGTGCCACGCGTGCATGTTCTCTATGGACCTCCCTCTTGTCCGTCCTGCCAGCAGGCGTCCACCTGCGCGTTCAGCTTTGCTTTCATACTTTATGGACAGGCATCCACGTCACAGTCTGGTCGGCTCCACAGAAACCAGTGGGGGTTGTGCCCACAAAGACGCAGTCCAGGATGACGGGAGGGACTGCGCTGCTGAGGACGTAGGACAGCAGCTGTCCCCTCACCCAGAGAAAAGCACTCCAGGCCTGTGTGAAACGGAGGTGCACAAGGGAATAGACAGAAACAGCGTCAACTGGCAGCTGCAGCCATGGTGAACAGAGAATGAGCCGATGTACGCTCTGGTGCTGCCTGTCCAAGGCCTGGCTGGGGAGGCGCTGGACACCCCACTTTCCACGCCGACTCTCCTCCCACCACCAGGCAGAAGGAGGTGGAAAGCAACACGGAGGAGGGAAAGCAAGGAGGGCCCCAGAGGACAGCGCGGCCGGCGCCACCATCCGCCTCTGGGCCTGTCTCGTGGGGACCCTCAGGGCAGACCCCTGGCAGTGGCTGCAGCCCAAGTGCCCCTCCTTGCCAGGGACAGCTGGAGGAACAGTGCAGGCAGGGCTGAGGCCCAGTGGCGACCGCACTGGTTTCTCACGTGTGGAGAACGCACAGGAAACTGAGCACTTGGCTGCCATCACCGACCTGGTGGTCTCTGTCCACTTTGCAGCTCCGTGGAAGAGAACGCACTTCATGAGGCCACGCAGTTTCCAGATGCTTCACGCCTAGATGTTTCCTTAAAATTGAGGCTAAAAACCCCGCTATAGGCCGGGCGCGGTGGCTCAAGCCTGTAATCCCAGCACTTTGGGAGGCCGAGACGGGCGGATCACGAGGTCAGGAGATTGATACCATCCTGGCTAACACGGTGAAACCCCGTCTCTACTAAAAAATACAAAAAACTAGCCGGGCGAGGTGGCGGGCGCCTGTAGTCCCGGCTACTCGGGAGGCTGAGGCAGGAGAATGGCGTAAAAACCCGGGAGGCGGAGCTTGCAGTGAGCTGAGATCCGGCCACTGTACTCCAGCCTGGGCGATACAGCGAGACTCCGTCTCAAAAAAAAAAAAAAAAAGAAAAAAAAAAAACCCCCGCTATAATCACATGATGCCTGCCACTATTTGAAATCTATAAAATATCTAATTTGGTAATCAAAATAATACTTAAAAAAATCAAAACTTAAAACTGTTCTCTTCAGGCCATGATCATGGCATAAAAGCTTTAATGATCAAGCTGTGCTTTGTGTCCCAGCCTCCCTTCCTCACTGTTGTGGTCACACTTTCTTTTTGTGAAGGAGACAGTCTGACCTCAGCGCACCCGGCTTCTGAGTTGCTTTGTGGGGGACTCTGGTTTTTCACTGAGGAAAATGGATGGTCCTCGCGAGGGCTCAGCCAGCATTCAGCCCTCAGTCTCCATAGAGGTGGCAGCCAGGCTCAGACAACACGGGAGGCTCTCAGGGCCTGAGCCCACCCAACGTGCACAGTGAGCCCCCAAGACCTGCACCCTGCGCGGGCGTCTCTGGGCAGCGCCCAGCAGGCGGCAGCTGAACGAAGGAGCGGCGGAAGGGGCTGGTGAGAAGCCGGGCTCTCCCCTCCTGGCCCACTCCCGCGGCCCCGCCTCAGCAGAGGGCTTCGCCAGGCTGCCGTGCACGCACACAGGCCCGAAGCCACGCAGCCAGGCAGAGCAGGTGGCACAGCCTTCCGCACTACGTGAGTCATAAACAGTTGAAGCTGTGGGCAACACACGTGCTCTGGCCAAGATGCACTTTGAGATTCCACTTCTGAGAAGAAAACCCTGGTGTGAATCCGCCGTGCTTGCCCAGTCGGCCCGAGACGCCCTGAGCACGCAGCCGCCAGCCTCTCCGAGGTCTCCGCAGACTTCGCCCTCCAGCTGGCAGCGGCTGCTGGGAGGACGGGCTGTGATCACAGATACTCAGAAATTAGGGTACTCAGAGGAAAATCAGGGCATCAGCTTCCAGTGAAGAGGGCGCCTTGTTCACACTCTACAGTGCTGTTAGGACAGTTAAAAAATACTTCAAGGCCGGGCGCGGTGGCTCAAGCCTGTAATCCCAGCACTTTGGGAGGCCGAGACGGGCGGATCACGAGGTCAGGAGATCGAGACCATCCTGGCGAACACGGTGAAACCCCGTCTCTACTAAAAATACAAAAAAACTAGCCGGGCGAGGCGGCGGGCGCCTGTAGTCCCAGCTACTCGGGAGGCTGAGACAGGAGAATGGCGGGAACCCGGGAGGCGGAGCTTGCAGTGAGCTGAGATCCGGCCACTGTACTCCAGCCTGGGCGGCAGACCGAGACTCCGTCTCAAAAAAAAAAAAAAAAAAAAAAATTCCTTCAAAGGCTCCTAAAAGCAAAGCTCTCCTAATGGGAACCAGGGCTCCCGGGAGAAACAGCTAACGCCAGGGCTGAGACCGGAAATGCAGAGAGCCAGGGGCTTCCTGCAGTGCCAGGAAGCAGGAAGAGGCCCCGAGAAGGATCGGAGGAGGCCAAAGAACAAAGACCCTGCCTGAGGGGGCTCCCTCTGGCCAAGTCTGGGATAATTTGAGTGAAAAAATAAACAACATTCGTAAGGGATTCTGACCCACGGAATAAAATAGGAAACTGCAAACCCACATTGCTGAAGAAGTCGGATAAACTCGGGCTGACAAGGGTGGGATCTCCCCGTGGTCCTGGGTCGGGCTGACAAGGGTGGATCTCCCCTGTGGTCCTTGGGGTGCTCTCCCACACGGACACTCCCTTTTAGCTCCCTGCAGGATCTCCCCCGTGTCCTGGGGGTGCCTCCCACATCGACACTTTTTAGCCCTCGGCAGGATCTCCCCGTGGTCCTGGGGTGCCTCCCACACGGACACTTCTTAGCTCCCGGGAAGTGGCCAGGCAGAGCCCACTGTGAGGGGTGAGCAAGTCACACCACTAGCCCTGCGCTGGATGGAATCTGTACAGAGTAAAATGCGGGGGCCCTGCCAGCAGCCCTGGGGAGACTCAGCCCTACCCTGCAAGGCCACGTCAGCAGCCCCACCAGGTCCCTGACCAGAGCACACCCCAGGAGCAAGATGGGGACCCCTCCAGGCCAAGGGAGGCAAGGCCACGGAGGGCCAGCGACACCGGGTTGGATGCTGTGGCCCCCCAGGACACTCAGACGGGGTCCAAGCAGGGGACAGTGTCACCTTCATCTGGACGGCTGTCCTGTGCCAGGAACACCCCTGCTTTATGGGAAACGCACGCCTGGGGGTGGGGTGTGGGGCTGGGGGCTCCAGTGGGGCGGCAGGTGGACGAGTCCTCACGGGCTCTGGCAGATGTCCTTGCATCTCCTTGGTAACTTTCCTATGAAGTGTGCGGCTGTTTCAAAATTTACAATGTCTATCAAAAGAAAATTTCAAAGTCTGTTTATAAAGAAATCTAGCCTTTCCTAAAACAAGCATTTTAGGGAAAACCTGAAAGGCATCTACAAAGAGAATTAAGGATAGGAACCAGAAACAGGTATGTCAATCAATGTTCTCTGTCAATCAATGTTCTCTGTCATCTGAATGCTCCTCCAGGCAGATACACCCCGGCGCTGTATCCAGTCGATGGAACTGCACCCCCCAAAAAGACAGGCCGAGTCCTAACTCTCGCCTGCACAGGGGGTCTGAAGACCGAGTCTCTGCAGATGTGAGCAGGTGAGGATGATGGCGTGCTGGGGCGGTGGGCCCTCGATCCACGGACTGGGGTCCTGGTGAGCAGGTGAGGATGATGGCATGCTGGGGCGGTGGGCCCTCGATCCATGGACTGGGGTCCTGGTGAGCAGGTGAGGATGATGGCGTGCTGGGGCGGTGGGCCCTCGATCCACGGACTGGGGTCCTCATGGGAGGAGGAGGAGGCAGCCACAGAGCGCCCGGCCCAGAAGCTAGAGGAGACGGGGAGGATCCTCCCCACAGCCTTGGCGAGTGGGCGGCCCTGCCTGCCAGGGCTTGGACTTCCAGCCTCAGGAAGCTGGAGGGCCTGGGTCTCTGTTCTTTCAGGTTGCCCATCTGTCTCCAACTCAGGACAACCAAACAGAACTTCACTAGCGCCACGAACTGCACGCCACAGAAGGCACTTCCACCCCACAACGGCGGCTCTGGGCTGTCCCAATTACAAACCAGAACCCCCAGCAGCCACTCCAGGGGCACCCAGGGCACAACAGGGCCCCCAGGCAGCAGAGCTCCCCTGGCCAGGCTCCAGGCTCAGGAACACCTGCGGGGCTCCCGTGCTCGCCCCCGTTTCTCTGCCACGGTGCTGGCTCTTCTGCTTACCCAGATGCCCGCCCTCCTCTAACTCTGAACGCCTCACGGCTGCTTCTGCGTTTCTGGCTCACCTCCGGTCACTTCCTATGAAGCATTCTTTCCTCAGTGATGAGGCACAGGTACTGCCTCTGCTGGGCTGGTGGTTTTCTTTCTTTTCTTTATCTTTTTTTTTTTTTGAGATGGAGTTTCGCTCGTCGCCCAGCCTGGAGTGCAGTGGCGCAATCTTGGCTCACTGCAACCTCCACCTCCCGGGTTCACGCCATTCTCCTGCCTCAGCCTCCCAAGTAGCTGGGACTACAGGCGCCCGCCACCATACCCGGCTAATTTGTTTGTATTTTTAGTGGAGATGGGGTTTCACCGTGTTGGTCAGGATGGTCTCGATCTCCTGACCTCATGATCCTCCTGCCTCAGCCTCCCACAGTGCTGGGATTACAGGCGTGAGCCGCTGCCCAGCCTCCCACAGTGCTGGGGTTACAGGCGTGAGCCGCCGCACCTGGCCTCCCACAGTGCTGGGTTACAGGCGTGAGCCACCGCCCGGCCTCCCACAGTGCTGGGTTACAGGCGGGAGCCGTCCGCCTCGGCCTCCCACAGTGCTGGGGTTACAGGCGGGAGCCGTCCGCCTCGGCCTCCCACAGTGCTGGGGTTACAGGCGTGAGCTGCCCGCCTCGGCCTCCCACAGTGGTGGGGTTACAGGCGTGAGCCGCCGCCCGGCCTCCCACAGTGCTGGGGTTACAGGCGTGAGCCGCCCGCCTCGGCCTCCCACAGTGCTGGGGTTACAGGCGTGAGCCGCCGCCCGGCCCAGGCTGGTGGTTTTCTAGACACTGGACACCACAGAGGCCCTGCTCAGACACGGGCTCTGCTCTTTCCTCTGGAGAAAGGCAGCCCTGGCACCTGCGCAGGCGACTTTACTTGGAAACAGAGTCTGCGATGTGAGCAAGTGAGGGCATGGCCATGCTGTTCTCATAAGCAGTTTCATCAGAGAATGTCCTGAACACCAGTCGACAGACCAGAGTCTCCCAGCGCCGTCCCCTCCTTCCCACCATCAGGCTGGGTTTCAGGCCACATCAGGTGGGTCTAGGGCAAGGTCCTGACTCCCAAGGTGGCCTTTCTGCATCTGTGTGGGATGCTGGCAGGACTGGGGTGCTGACCAGGCCTCTCCACTCCAGCTGGGCTGGACACCAGCACCGGCCTGACAGCACTCTCGCCTGCCAGCAGCTCTGTCCCACCCCAACCCCAAAGCAGCCCCTGAGCACAAGCAGCCGGGGCCTCACGCAGGCCCCGAGACCCTCCCCCAACACCACCACGCATCCCCAGTGCCCTGCCCGCAACTTGGCCACTTCCACGGCCTGGTCCCCCAGTGCAGAGGGACCCGCACTCTGCCAGACACCAGCTCCCCGGAATGAGAGGCCACCCTGGGAGGAGAACCAGGGTGGCCACAGGCTCCCCCCGAGCACCTCCTCTCAGGGGCTGCTGTCCCCCCGCCTGCTGAGGACGCTGGGCCCATCCATGGTGGGGGCCGGCCTTGCACCAGCTGCTATGACAGCCACAGCTGGACCAAAAATGCAACAGCGTGAAAAGCGACATTCCCGCTTGGTGTTGCTGCAGCCACCGGCTGCTCACTCTTAACAGTGACACACGACAATGGCCGCAACAGCGCAGTGCAGAGCACGCATCACCCGACAGGGGTGTGAGGTTCTCCTGCAGCTGGGCACGACGAGGTTTCAGTCACATTTCCACACCTCTGAAAATTTCAACTCATCTCATTTCTGCCAACAATTAGGAAAAAAACCAATTCTATTCTCTAGATATGCAAACAAAATTCAAACGTAACCCTTGGCTCCCTAGCCTAGAAGGATCTGCGTGCAGTCGGCACGTCTGCAGGATTCTAGAACGGATGACGTCCCCCAACCGGCGCTCTAAGCCCTGTTCCCTCCTCCTGCGCTCGCCCTAGGCCCTGGAGTTTCTACCAGGCGAGAGGCACCCAGGGAGGAGGGGGCACACGCACCTGTGATGGGCACGTAGCCGACGCCCTGCTGGTACACCGTCGGCATCAGGACCACAGGCTGGGGTGGCATCACCATGGCAGCTGGCAGCAGCTGGAACACAGCGGAGATGGTCCCGGGGTCAGGAAGGAACATCTACCCATCAGAACCTCAGGAATCGCCCTCCCCATGCTAGCCCCGAACCCAGCTGTGAGCCCTGAGTGCACAGGGGACACTGGGGCCCACTCCCACCCCCGCACCACCTCCTCACATCCAGGAGGTGACATGGCTCAGGCTTACAGACCCCCCGCTAACTGGGATGTGACGGAGAGACGATGGTGTCAGGAAGGACATCCCAGTGTAGGTGTCAAGTGGGCCTGGGGGGAACCACACTGCACAGCTGTGGTGTCTGAGTTGAAAACTGTCAACTTCAGATAAGTCACTGCACTGCTGTCGTCTCTGAGTTGAAAACTGTCACCTGCAGGTAAAGTCACTGGGGCGTCATGATGGTTCTGCGTATGAAAGCGTGGCTTAAAGCTTCGTCCTGAGACATTTACACGTGGTCACTCACGGCTGGGACTTGCTTTAAAATATTCCAGCGTTAACAAAAAGGGAGCAGGAGAGGCCAAGATGGCCCAGAAGAGCGGCTCCCTGCTGCGCCCTCTCTGCTGTCACATGGGCCTTGCATTTCCCACAGCACCATTTTTCAGTAACAACCTAAAAAATTCCCTGAGTGATAATACAGAGAAGACGGCAGGAGTTCTGCGTCCTGGAGCCTCTAACTGGCCCTCCTGACGCCCCCAGGAGCTGCAGGTGTCCAGAGGATATAGACAGCTGGGAGCCAGGGCAGCTGACGTGCTAGCCCCACGGCCAGGCCTCGACTTCCTGACCCTGAGTGCGGCAGCCCCTAGGCTTCCCCCACATCTCCAGAGATGCCCTTCTACACCCTGGCCAGTGCCTGCCCTGTGGGGAGGAGCCTGGTGTCCTGCAGGGCCCAGGGCTCTATCTCAGACCCTGGAGGGCTGCTCCGCTGGACCCTAAGGGCAGAGCTTGGAAGGGCTGTGAGGGACCTCCGAGGACACAGGGGCCTGCAGTGGAGACCACCACAAAGGGTGGGCCCATCTTAGGAACACAAACAACCCCGATGCTGTTTCCCCAGACAGAATCGATGGGCAGGAGCAGTGGGCGGGGCAGCCCCTCTCTGCCACCAAACCACCCAGGGCCCCTGCCCTCTGTCCTCAGAACGCTGAGCCCTGCTGTTTGATGGACTCAGTGCCTCCAGGAAAGAGACCAGGGTGTCTGCGGGGTGGCACAGCCCTGACGTGTCCCAATATACCCTGACCCGCCCCGCCCCAAGGCCCCTGACGCGTCCCGCCCCTCCCCGATGCCCGATACCAGGCCGGCAGCTCACCGCGTAGGACATGACGAGGTTGATCATGCCCTCCTTGTCGTCCCCCTGCCTCCCGCTCAGGCTGTACCACTTGTCCTCCACCTTGCCTTGCCTCAGGGACTCGGGGATGGTGATGTGGGTCCATGCGATGCGGTCGTCCATGGAGAAGGCTCTCTGGGGGAGAAGAGGGAGATGCCCCAGGCATCAGGGAAGGGGCCGCCCTATCCCTGCGGTCGCACCATCATGGGCCCGTCTCCAGTTCCCATCTCATCGGTGGAACAGGGCTCCCACCTGCACCAACACCCCATCAATGAGACCCCTCAGGCAGCACGGGCTTCACAATCGTTTATCAACGATCCTTCCCTCTCTCCACCAGGATGGGCCAGGGCCAGGGCTAGGTCTGGAGCTGGGGAAAGTGAGGGTCCTGGGCTGCTGTCCTCCTCCAGTTCCAATTCAGGGACACTGGTTGCTCCTCCCTAGCCCTCGGGGCCCCATCCTTGCTCCACCGGCTGCCACCTCCCAAGCCCCAGAGCGGCCGGGGCGCAGGCTGGAGAGGACACGGGGTCTGCCTCCCACAGTGGCCTCTGTACTTCCCAGGTACTCTTCACTCTTCTGAGGGCCAGGGAGGGGAAAGCAGGTCGGGATGGGGAGAGAAAAGCCAGGAGGAAAAGGCAGGGCCCAGGCAGGGAGGACTGGCCATCTGCTGGCCTGGCTGCCCCACACTGCTCCCTAGCCCCCACCCGTGCTCTAGCCTCCCAGTGGCACAGGTGCGAGGTGCCGGGACCACGCGGAACAGCAGCCTTGCCACATCCCCCTCTGACCTTCTGACTCTGCCTCAGAAGCGCTGCAGGTGCAGCCATGGACAGGACTCAGGACCCTCAAGGGTCACAGCCACTCCCACCATCAAGAACAGCTTTCCCACCCGGCAGGCGGCCGGACTCACTGGAAATCCCACCTGCTGGTGAGCGGCCAGACCCGGTGCACCCGCCCAGTGGAGGGGACACGTGCACGCTCTGTCCCTGGGTCATGCTTGTCACTGGGGATGTTTCCAAACGTAAGGGTGTTCAAGGAGCTGGAAACAATCTCTCTTTTTCACATTCCTTGGGGAGAGTAGGACCCTGTTATGCACCCAATGAAACACCAGGTGGGGACCCACACCTCGAAGCCAGCCAGGAACGTGGTTGTGTCGGCAGGTGTGTTCCCACGGCAGCCACACTCAGCCACGTGCGGCCTCCCATAATAGCTGGCATGTCCCTCTCACCTCATCGAAGATTTCGAGATAGAACGAGTCCACGCCTGGGGGCACCGTGCAGTGGATGACCTTATTCCAGCGGGGATTCTTGGCGCCATTGTGTGCCGTGGGCGTCTCATACACCGCGTAGCCCAGGCGCAGTCGGCAGTAGGGGTCCATGCGGGTCATGCCGTAATTCTTGGCCAACTTTGCCTGGAATGAAGCCAATGTCAGGAAAAGGAGGTGCCAACCATCGGGAGAGGGCGGGTTCTCTAGGCCATCTGCCTCCCTGAACCCTTCCATGAGGCCTTTTGCTAACATATAGACTACAGACACTCAGAGTTGCCAGAACACGACTGTGACCTGCTTCCCAGGAGGCCAGGAGCAAGAAGACTGAGCCACAGAGGAATCGTGCAGTTCTGAGACAAAGCACATGGCTCATCCTTGACAGCAGAAACCTACAACACTCACAGACACAGCTGAGGCCGCCACTCAGCCGCCACGAAGGGTGCGCTCTCTAACCACCTCAGAAGCAGCTGAGGAGGGAGAGAGGAGGTGGTCCCGGCACAGAGCTGAGAGCCAGAGCACGACAGGGAGCGTGAACCCGCCCCGGAGCGCAGTGACCGGGAGAGGTGCGTCCCTGCTCCAGGCGGGAGCGAGGACACCTGCTGTGCGTGATTCAGACGCCACGTGGCTGCCTTCCTCCCCATCATGAAGGCAGCAGCCCTGCCTGTGCTATCGGAGCAGGTGGCGTTTTGGGGACAGGAACTTGTCTTTCTTGTGTCTCCCAATCACAAGGAGCCACATCACATGTAGACCATGAGATCTGACTTCAGGCCAGGCACTCGGCTGGGCTGGGACATTTGAGGTCCACGGGGTGAGACTGAACGTGTGTTACAGGGAATGAATATTCAGAATAAGACAAAAGACTGCGGCACGTAAGACAGAAGACTGCGGCACGTAAGACAGAAGACTGCGGCACATAAGATGATTGCTCAGCAAACAAACTCAACGTGGATGGCAGGTTCAAATATAAAACCTAAAACTGCAAAACTTCTACAAGAAAAAATCAGGAGAAAAGCCGTCGCGAGCTGGGTTGGGTTCAGCCCTGCAGCTCCGGCTGCCTCCCTGGAACGCAGACGGCCTCCCTGCACTGCCGCCACCCGCTCTCTTGCGGCCAACCTGGCTCACCCTCAGGAGCTGGTGACAGAGACCCCAGGAGCCATCCCAGCCCTCCCAGCCACACAGAGCCCACCAGTTCCTCCTTCCCAGTGCAACAGAGTCCAGACACTGCCCCCGACCCCTCTGAGGGCACGGCCTCCCCGTCCTCTCTGCCCTCTGAAGGCACGACCACTCCATTCTCACTGCCCCCCGCCCCCCCGAGGGCACAGCCACTCAGTTCTCGGTGACCCCCACTGAAGGCACCACCATCCTGTCCTCACCAACCCCCCTCTGAGGGCACAGCCGTCCCATCCTCGCTGAACTCTCTCTGAGGGCACCACCACCCTGTCCTCACCGCCCCGAGGGCACCGCCACCCTGTCCTCGGTGAATCCTCTCTGAGGGTACCGCTGCCCTGTCCTCACCGCCTCCGAGGGCACAGCTGTCCCATCCTTGCCATCCCCTGCCGCACAGCTGAACTCTCCCCTCCTGTGCCCACATCTCTGGACTGCCGGGTCCTCTGTCTTCTATTCTCATCCACATACAAGTTCCCTCCTTCCACTTCTAACCAAAGCTGTGGCCGGCCGTTTTATGTCAAAACTGCCCCATTCTTGGGTCCTTAATTTTAGCGGGTTTCTTGGGTGGCCAGAGCGTACTCTGGAATACTATGGAGGGACAGTTTTCTGGAAGCTCCAGGGTGACTAGCAGCTTCCAATTCCCTTCTGCTGCACACCCACAGATCTGCCAGATCAGCTCTTACACTCGAAACTCCGCCCCTCTAAACTCCTTAGAAATTGCCCTATTTTCTGGAAGGTATGTAGCAGGAAAGTCTGAGACCAGCGTGATGTTCCAAAGCTTTCAGGTAACTGTGCTGTTTCTGCCTATTGCTAAGACTTTTTATTATTATTAACTTTAAAGGCTTTGAGCAAAGCCAGCTTTCCGGGGGGCATGTGGGACTCCCGCTGCCAGCATCCCTGTGCCCGTCACCAATGCCTGCTCACACTGCGTCCTGCCCGCTTCTGCCACACTCAGCCTTGTCCTGTCATTCCCGTCTCCTCCCACTGCCCTCTGCACTGTGGCTAGAAAACTCTAGGAGGAGCATCCTGTGACATCAACTGCTCTACTGAAGTGACCTCCTTGATGTTTACGGAAGCATCTGCCCATTCACTATGACCCCACACAACCACACGCTGTTGTGATGCGGCGGGCACTGTGGGCACTGCGGGCACTGCGGGGACACGCAGGCACCGCTGACTCCCCGACAATGGGCAAGAGATGCGCAGCAGACACACGGCACGGCAGACGGCGCTACCACTGCAGGGACTGACCAGCTCGGAGGACCAATGTGTGGGCTGCAGGATCTGGAGGAAGAGCTGCAGGAAGTGGGAAGAGAACGGCCAGGGAACAGGAAGGTCAGGAGTGACCGGGGGAGGCAAAACATGGGCCCCGGCTTGAGAAGCCTCGGCAGGACAATGCCCACGAGAAAGGCCTGTGCAGGGAGTGACCTGCTCTGGCCACAAGCCAGTGGCTGAGCAGAGGCAGTGGGTGGTGCAGGGGGCTCCCCGCCTGGACCGGCGGAAGGTGGCGCCTGTGCTGAGGGTCAGGCCTGAAGGGCAAGAGGCGGAGATGAACTGTGGAGCACCAGGAGCACCAGAGCTTTGGGCCTCAGCTTCCAGAGTGTGGGGCAGCCACCTGCAGACACGGGAGAGAAGCTGGGACGGTGGCTTGAGAGGTCCGCCTTGGGCACATGGAGTCCGGCGTGCCCACGGGACATCCAGGGAGGCCATGTGGCCATGGTCCGTACCTGGGAATCTGGGGTGGAGTTGAGTGTCTGGCTCAGGCCGGGACCAGCACACAGGTGTTTAGACCCACAGGGACGCGGGAGTCACTGGGGTGTGTGGGCAGAGAGAGGAGGAGGGCTGAGGACCAGACCCCTTGGCATCCCATTGGAGCCCCAGGAGACGATGAGGGGAAGCAGCCAGGGGAGGCAAGCAGGGAGGCAAGGAGGCAAGCACATGTGCAGCTGCCCAGAAGCCAAGAGAAGCAGGAAGCAGGTGCTGGGCTACATGGCCCAGTGAGGAGGCAGGAATGTTCCCCCCCACTGGAGCTGTGGCACAGAAGGCTGGGTGAACTCGCGTGGAGGAAACAGACAGGCTGCCTGCAGTGGGCTCCAGGATGTGGGAAAAGACCAAGGGGGGCCGGAGGCGTGGGCAATGCCAGGGCCACCTCCAAGGCCCAGCCAGGTCTGGAGTTTGAACTGTGTGAGGCGGAGTGCCCTGCGGTCACCAGGCCCTGCCAGGAGGTAGCGGCTGAGAATGGGTGATGGCACTAGGTGCCCTGGTGGCAGCTGGAGCAGGAAAGCATGGGCTTACAGGAGTTCACTGGGTGGGCAGAGGGATGGGCCACACCAGCAGAGAAACAGCTGCACAGGCAAGGGTTTGAGACACGCTGCGAGGAAGGGGTGACGGCACAGCCGTGCCCACCACACCAAGTGAAGCCCCTGAAACCAAGTCTTATTTGTGAGGTCCACAGCGACTCTTCTGCCTGCTGTATTTGTGCATTTCTACAAAAGCCTGCGAGGCTCACAATGCGTTTCCTTTTCCTGTGATCTTACGGCACGTTTTGGTGTGATCAAAATCGCTGTTCAATCTGCCGATTTTGGTCTTCACTTGAAAGTCCACTGAGTCACCACGTCCTGGCGGCTGGTGTCCAGCCCTGAGGCTGACCGAGGGCTGCTCTGTGGGGAGGGGAGGGTGCAGGCACCGGCACTGGGGCCAACGGGAAGCCACTCACGCAGCACACACTGAGTGGTGGGGGGCCAGCTGCGCCTCCTCCAGCTGCCGGCAGGGGCCCGGGAGGCGTCCTGGGGCATCCTCAAGCCTGGTGGTGGAGCCGGTCGGACCCTACACGGAGTGGACGCCCACCTACCCCCACTACTCATCATTTATGTTTGGCAGAACCCGGGGTCAATGCCAATATTTTTCACACAGATCGTTTTCAACATCACACATTTCAGGAAAAGCGGGAATCAGAAGTTCCGTTTACCCGCTTAGGAAATGCAGTGTAAACACCGAAATCCTCAATCCCACCCCACCTGAGCGCACCAGCCCCAGGCAGGCAGGAGGGTGCCCCAAGGCCCACCTGAACCACAGTGATGTTCAGTCGGCCCACGGTGCCCACGGCGCCTCCGTACTGCAGCTGCTGGGCCGCCTGCGCGTCCAGCTGGACCTGCCGCTGCTGTTGTGTGGGCGTGATGCGGAGGAAGTCCTGCGGGAGCTCGCCGATGTACACCTGCGGGGCCGGGGACCAGAGAGGCAGTGAGTCAGGGTGGGGACACAAAGCAGCCCGATAGCAGCTGCCCCAGCATTCCCGCGACCCAGCCCCGCGCCCACCCATTTCCTAATCAAGTCCTGGACTGTGCTCAGCCTCCGTTTCCCCATCTCTAAACCCAGGGGTCATGGGCGTCCAGCCTGGGGCCTGGCCCCCAGTGGCACAGGTGCAGCCCTTACTCAGGAGATCCCCAAATGCAGATTTCTGCCACTAAAAACAGGTTCCCGTCCTCAAAGCCTGGTCAGGTGGGTTTTCAGGTCATTTTAAAGGGTCTCCCTTGCACCATGTGTGCCCATGGCTTCCTTCTCCTTGTCCACAGCTAAAGGCAGGGCCACTGAACTGCCGGTCACTTGGTCAAACAAATGAATGAGACAAAATCTGAACCTCAGGTCTAAAGTGATTTGGAAAACCCTCTGCTGATATACTTCAAATGTTTCTACATGAAACAGCTGAAATTCAAAAGTACCCCAGAAGAACACAGGAAGTAAATTAATTCCAAACAACCACGAAAGACCTCCCCACTCTGCATCCTGTCTCTCCTCGACCCTCTGTCCACCGGGGCTGCCCCTAAGGGGAGGACAGCGTAGGGGCCCGTGTCATGGACTCCCAATGACATGGTGCCAGGCAGGGCTCCAGGAGGTTCTGAGTTCAGCCCTGGACCTGCTGTGCTCTGGCCGCCTGGCACTTCAAAGGACCCCACGAGGGTCTAGCTCCTCACCTGTGTCCCCAGCTAAGGCCTGGAGAGCACAAGCCAGTCAGCACTCCACAACCAATGCGAGCAAACAGAAGGGACCTGGACAATCCAGCACTGCTTCGTGCGGTTACGGACTCAGGCCCCCGGGTCTGGGGAGCTCTCTGCAGGCTGCGCCCCAACCCGAGCAGCCAGCGCGGTGTGTGCTCAACCGCTCTTCTCTAAAAATCAACACACACTTCATGCCTTTCCCCACACTTTACCCCGTTTTTGACCGGGACACATCACGAGTGACCTTTGCCCCGTGAGAGAAGCCGTCTTGTGAGAACAGCAGAGCACCCCGGCTTCACCTCCGGAGGGTGTGGCGCAGGCCAGGGCCTGAAGGGACCCCCTGACGGACAAGCAAGGAGGGTGCCGAGGTGCCAGAGGGGAGCGGGCCCATGCCAGGAGTCCCAGGCCAGCCTCCTCCAGGCAGCCTCTCATGAGGCGCTGTACAGCTTACCAGCAAGCTCTGGCTCAGGAGGGTGCTGAGAGGCCCCGTGGCACGAGATGCTAAGCACCTGCTCCTGCTGGCACACAGGAGACACTGGGGTACAAAAGGCCAGGGCCCCTCACCTGCCTCCCAAAGGAATTCACAGCCCAGAGCTCTCTCCCCAGGGGACACCTGGCCACGCAGGACGCGCCTCCCGGCCAACTTCACAGAGCCCTGGCACAGACCATGCCCGCAGACTCTATCACTAGCTCTGTCTGCTCACCAGGAATGGGTTATCTTGCAGAAACAGACTCGTGCTAACCAAGTTCTCGGGATTAATATACACAACCAAATTCCTGTTTATTTGTGACAACTGCTTCCTCCGTGCCACACACACAGCTCCAGGGACACGGCAGGAAAAGCACTGCATCTCCTGCGCACACATGGGAGACAGACAGCGGCTCGTGTCCTCCTGGGCACACATGGGAGACAGACAGCGGCTCGTGTCCTCCTGGGCACACATGGGAGACAGACAATGGCTCGTGTCCTCCTGGGCACACATGGGGGACAGACAGGCGGCTCATGTCCTCCTGGGCACACATGGGAGACAGACAGGCGGCTCATGTCCTCCTGGGCACAGGTGCGGGACAGACAGGCGGCGCGTGTCCCGGAAACAGCGGCATGGAGAAGCTGGTCAAGGAGAGGGTGTGGGTGGTGACAGGGGTGTGTGGAAGTGGGGTTCACAGAGGCCTCTGAGGGAGCACTGTGGGTCCCTGGCTGTTCTGGCTCCGGGCTGTCCTGGTACTCGGAGGCGCCCGGCGCTCCGCTCCATCTCCTCACTCTGCGTGTCCATTCGAGACAACGGGACTGCTCATTGCTGAGAGAAAATAAAACTATACCCGAAGGCCAGATGATCAAGCGTCATCTCCAACAAAGATTTAACCATAAAACGACAAAGAGGAAACGAGGGCTGTTAACGTAAGCCGTGTGGACAGAACACGGAAAGGGGAGAAGCAGCCCCCAAGGATGGAGCTTGTCAGCCCACGCAGCCCAGGGACCGTGGCCAGCACCACGTGGCAAGGGTGCATCCGGCTCCCCGAGATGACGCACACCTCACCTCTGGCTTTCTTCCCCAAAACCCACACCCCGATTAAGAGACATCTGACAACATCCCTGACCCGTCAGTCCTCCTCAAACTGTCAAGGTCCCAAAAACACAAGGGAAGCCTGAGAGACGGCCCCAGATTGGAGACGGAGACACAAAGGCTAAATGCAAAATGGGGTCCTGGGACAGCAGGGGACAGTCATCGAAAAACCAGGACATCCAAACAAAACCTGGAGCCAGCAGTCACGCCCCAGGTCGGCACCACAGCTGGGAGAACTGTTCCCGGGGAGGGGATCGTCGGCCGGGGAACGTGGGTGAGACACACAGGACCTCTTTGTGCCAGCTTTTCAATTCCACCTAAAACTGAACACTACAAAATTCAAGGTTTTTCAGAAAAATATTCCACTTAATCTAAAGAGAGCAAGAATGAGAAAGGAGTGGGAGGAGAGGGCTTCAGTCCTCCCGGTACAAACACTGGTTATGCAACCTGCTGCCCCGCCTACGAGGGAGAGGCGGCTCGCCGGCTGCTGCAATGCCCTCGTTTCTCAACTGAGAGCGAAGCCCTTCAAACGGGGAGGAGGGAGTTCTACCAGTTCATGCTCCATGAGTCACAGGGGAGTCCAGGTGCTGAAGTAAACCCTATCGTTCCAGTGACAACACTCACTAAACATCTATTTTGAATTTATTTTTTAAATTCAGTACTAATCCTAAAATTTACTTTTGTCATATTACCATGGAGAAGATGTTTCAATGGTCACGTACAAATATATGCTGTACCCTGGTTCAAAGGCTTGGAAATATGAAAACAAAAATGATTACTCCTGATACATAATGGATATTTTTCTAGAATTTTGCTTCCATGTACAATATGTACATACTGGCCGGGCGCGGTAGCTCAAGCCTGTAATCCCAGCACTTTGGGAGGCCGAGACGGGCAGATCACGAGGTCAGGAGATTGAGACCAGCCTGACTAACACGGTGAAATCCCATCTCTACTAAAAAAAATGCAAAAAACTAGCCGGGCAAGGCGGCGGGCACCTGTAGTCCCAGCTACTCTGGAGGCTGAGGCAGGAGAATGGCGTAGATCCGGAAGGCTGAGCTTGCAGTGAGCTGAGATCCAGCCACTGCACTCCAGCCTGGGCGACAGAGAGAGACGTCAAAAAAAAAAAAAAAAAAAAAAAAGATGTACATACTGAGTTCAACACTAACAAGTAAGTTTAAACACCTGTGTGAAGGCTGACAATTCCACTTCGGGAACCAGTCCCATGTCAGCACTCGCTTGGGCACGTGACCACGGGATGCCTGCGGCTGCATCCCCTGTGCCGTCAAAACCCCCGTCCACCAGCCAGGCACATCCACCCAGCGCAGGGACACGCGGCCTCAACCGGAGCCGGAAGTCCCCGCCTGGAACACAAGGAGACCGGGGGATGGAGGCGGAGGCACAGCACGACCTGCTGGGGGAGCCATAAGGAGGCCTCTGTCGAGACCAGCTCTGGAGGAGCATTCGAGAATGGAACTCGAGGGACACGGGCAGGGAAGATTCTTTATTTATACTTTCATATCCTGCTAGCTATTTTTAGAAACTTTTTTAAAACCACGTTCGTGAATTACTTTTAAAATAAAAAGGACAGTGTAGGGCTCTCATCCCACAGAGCTCTCTGTGTTTTATCTTCTCTGAAAATAAAAGCTACTTTTATAAATATTAGTCCGTTTTAAATATAGTTTAAAAATGTAACGTCACATTTCTTGGACTTGCTGATTCTCCTCCCCCTGTGGTGCTCTCAGAGGATCACGACGCACGCCTGTGACTGACGACCATTCCTCCCTTGCTGACGCCAGAGCTCAAACCATTGCAGCACCTTTCCACATCAAAGAAAAGAGATCGCCAAAATTCACTTCTAATTTAAAACAATTTCCCTTCAAGTCTAAGTTTTACTTTTGGCACAGAAATAAAGTCTTAATTCTTCTTTTTTTGTCATGTAACGTGTGTAGTCAACCCAAAGCTAATTTTTTCTTTTTAAGCACACAAACAAGCACCCACTGTGAATATTCCTGTGACATGTTTCCAACTGAGAGAGCTGCTGCTTCCTGAGGCCCCACTTTCTGCCCGACAGATCGCAGGAAGAGCCCTGCTCAGCCCAGGATGTGCAGTCCTGAACACACGCAGTCCTGGCCTCAGTCCTGCCAGGAGGCATCAACCTGAGGAGCCGAACCACGGATGCCCCGGGAGCACGGCTGGCCACGTGCGGGCGGCAGGAGGCCAGGGTCTCCTGGCCACTTCCACGACTGGCCCTCTGTGGAGCCTTTTTACACCTTCTCACCATCCCCACCCCATGATGCTGTAAGGCTGTGGAGCTGCTGTTTGTGTTTGTGTGCCATGCGTGCACCTGCACTTGGCACGTAAACACTGCAAGCAAGGCTCTAACGAGTCTCAGCGCTAATGCCAGGTTAGCATAACTAAGTCATATTAAGTTCAATTAAAAACTAAAACGCTTCTAACACTTCATGACTATGTGCTGAGCAGCGTTGAGTGTAATTTATTTACATAAATTGTAATGTATCAAATCACATGTACAAATAACATATAAACACAGTAAAAACTATCCTTAGTGAACTGAGGCTTTTGCTTGATGTGAGAAAGTACTTTTTAACTGCTTGGTATGCTTTGAGCAAACTGACATCATTAGCGATGGG